CTTGACTACTTTAGCCGTGTGTTTGGGATCATGTCTTGCTGGAACTTCCAGTTGTTGCCGAGTTCCAGCTTCTCTGCAGATTCCTTCAGGTTTTCGTCCAGAGTTGGATATAGTCCTCCTTTCTCAAGGTGCCCTGGATCCTGACGAGGTTTCCTGTGCCGCGGGAAGAGAAGCATCCCCCAACGTGATGTTTCCGCCACCGTGCTTGACGGTTGGCACCGTGTTCTTGGGATTGTAGGCCTCTCCTTTACTCCTCCAAACATATGCTGCAGCATCCATGTGCCCAAACAACTCCAACTTCGTCTCATCAGACCACAGGATGTTTGCCCAGAAGTTGGAATCTTGCTGCATATTGCCTCTAGCAAAGGCCAGGCGAGCCTTGCTAGATTGCTACAGGAAGCGACTAGAAGCAGTAATAAGGAACAAAGGATATGCTATCGACTACTGAAGAAAGACACTGAACTCTGAAAACCAAGGGTATGAATATTTTTGAACATGGGTGTTTTCAAAGATTCATGAATAAAACAGACCTGAAACTGAATATTTTGTCAGTTGTATGTTGCTGTTATTCATTCCCCTGTTGGTCATATATAAATCATAAATAAGCTCGACAAAATGTTTTCTTTTCATCAAAAAAGCAAAATGGCCGTTTTCACGACGGAACTTTCGCAGAGGAACTTATTTGATACCTAAAAAGTACCTACCCTTAGAGGCCTTAACATCCCTCAAACTGAAATATTTTATGTTCAAAATAATTTTAGAAGTTTAAATCCAGGCATTTTTTGCCCTCAAATCACTTATTTATTTACAAACACAGCAATTTTTGGTTCTAGTAGCCCACCTTTCGACTATGAGGTATTAAATCAGCGTGGCAACTTGCTCCCTCTTTGCTCCCTCGGGTATCTAATACCGGAATTCTTAAAAACAAGGAAAGTATATATCGAGTTCTCTTTTATACCTATTCAGTTATGTTTTAATGGTGATTAAAATATGACAAATTTTTTAATTGCATTTTGTTGTGTGCTGGGAACATTCCGGAGCGGTTACCCATCCCCAGTGCGCGGGTACCCGCCCAGTTTGGTCTGGCGTCTCGCTGTCTGTGTCTGGCTGTCTGGTGTCTCGTTTTGTGATTGGCTGACCGTTGATCGGTCAGTCACGTGATCGTATCGGACGGTCAGGGCCGCGTCGTGCTGGCCGGTCGGTCGGGGGGAGTCGGTCGGTCACCGCTGAGCCAGCCGTCGGTATGGTGCTGTTGCTAAAGTAAAATATACCGCACCCGGTTTAACAGAGTGTCTCAAGATACAACAGTGGCGACGGGGATGAGATCCCACGGCAAGATGAGTGATTCAGATGAGAGGAAGCCGGCAACAGGTATCGCAACAATGCACCAGCCCACGGTATGTCTCACGTCCGCCATTGGCGAATTTGATGAACGTCAAGGCACCTGGAGGGATTACATTGAACGATTTGAGTTCTTTTGCGAGGCTCAGGGCATTTCAGAGGATGATAGAAGGAGAGCACTTCTCTTGGCTGGTATTGGGCAAACTGCGTATCAAAGAGTCAAAACCATTCTGGCACCCACCCGACCCTCTGAGATGTCATATAGAGATATTGTCATGGCCGTGCAAGATCATGTGGATCCGAAGCAGTCTGTTATCGTTAGCCGTTTCCGGTTCCATCAAAAATGTCAAGGATCAGAACAGGGGATAAAGGAGTTTGTGGCTGACTTGAAAGTCATGGCCGATCCATGCGACTTTGGATCAAGTAGAGATGATATGTTACGCGACAGATTTGTGTGTGGACTCGCTGATCAGGCGTTGCAGAAGCGGTTGTTGACCGAGGAAGATACTCTGACGTTCCAACAGGCGCAGCGGATCGCACTGGCAGCAGAGACGGCGACGAAGAGCGCAAGACAGCTGGCTGCCCAGTCATCCGATCTAGCGGCGCAGGACGTTCACAGAGTTGGATCTGCACGACAGGTGAAAGGGTCACCATCCAATCGGTACGTCAGATCGGAATGTTTCCGCTGCGGAGGCACTAATCATTCACCTCAAACATGCCGCTTTAAGACGTACAAGTGTCATTCATGTGGCGAGCAGGGTCACTTAAGTCGCAAATGTCGCAAAAATGATCAAGATCATGTGCGCGCCTCGCAAGCTAAATCTACACACTGTGTACTGACTGATGAGTCTGTCAGAGTATCAGAGCCTAGTCAGGCTGCTGAAGAGGATAATGTTTGCAGCGTGTACACTGTGGGTGAAGCAAGGTCCCCTCCAATCACAGTTGACATCATAGTGTTTGGTGTGCCCGTTACCTTTGAGGTTGACACAGGATCGGCATCCACGCTGATGAATGCCCGCACCTTTGAGGTGGTGAAGACTACAGGCGGCGACGACAGCCTTGAACTTCGGCGAAGCAGCGCCAGGCTTCGGACGTACACGGGTGAGCCCATCCCGGTCGAAGGGGAGTTCAGTGCCGTCATCCATTACGGTGAGCAGCACCTGGAGCTTCCCGTCGTCGTGGTCGACACTGCAGGACCCAATCTTCTGGGAAGGGACTGGATGAAGTTCCTTCAGCTCGACTGGCAAACCATCAAACAGGTCAGAGGTGATCCTGGGCGGGGACAGTCAATGGGTGCAGAGCTGCAGAAAAAGTACCGTGATGTGTTTTCTGCTGATCTAGGGTGCCTGAAAGACGTGGAGGTGAAGTTTGACGTCAATGAGGATGCAAAACCATGTTTCTATCGCCCACGGAACATTCCCTATGCCTTCAGGAAACGCGTGGAGGAGCAGCTGGACGCAGAGGTCGAGGCTGGGGTCCTCGAGCCAGTGCGCACTGCGGACTGGGCGTGCCAAATCGTCCCGATAGTGAAGCCCGACGGTAAAATCCGCATATGCGGAAACTTCAAACTGACAGCTAACAAAGCCATTCGAGTAGACAGACACCCCCTGCCCAAGGTCCAGGACATGTTTGCCCAACTGGCTGGGGGAAAGGTGTTTGCCAAGCTAGACTTAAGCCGTGCATATCAACAGTTGAAAGTAGCAGAGGAGCACAGACACTTGCTGACAATCAACACTCACCGTGGACTGTATCGTTACCTGCGGCTACCGTACGGGATAAACTCAGCTGTGGGAATCTTTCAGCGTGAAATGGAAAAGCTGCTGGCTGGCGTGCCAGGAGTCTTCATCTTCCTCGACGACATCCTGGTCTCTGGACGGGCTGAAGACGAGCTCGTGTCCCGTCTGGAGCAAGTGCTGCAACGACTCCAGGACTCCGGACTTCGGGTGAGACCGGACAAGTGTCACTTCTTGGTCCCCCGCGTTGAGTATCTTGGTCATGTCGTCGACAAAGATGGCCTTAGTACCACGGAGGCCAAGGTTCGAGCCATAACCCAGTCACCTCCTCCCACAAATGTCTCTGAGCTGAAGTCGTTTCTCGGCATCGTCAATTATTATTCCCGGTTCATCCCCAGCAGAGCCCAAACGCTACACCCGCTCTTTGAGCTCCTCAAAAAGAGTACGCCGTGGTCCTGGGAACAAGAGCATCAAAGGGCTTTCGAGGAATGCAAACGATTGCTCACGTCCAACCAACTCCTGGTTCATTTTGATCCTGACCTCCCACTAGTCCTCACCTGTGACGCCTCCGCTCGTGGGATCGGAGCTGTGCTCTCACATGCGTTTCCAGATGGGTCTGAGAGGCCGATAGGATATGCGTCTAGGACGCTACAGACAGCAGAAAAGCAGTACAGTCAAATCGAAAGAGAGTCCCTAGCTATCATATTTGGTGTCACCGCCTTCCGTGACTACTTATATGGGGCAAAATTTGAACTGGTCACAGATCACAAGCCTCTTATCAAGCTCTTTGGAGAGAACAGCGGCATGCCAGAGATGACAAGCGCCAGAATCAAACGCTGGGCGCTGAAGCTTTCCCAGTATACCTATACGATCAGATACAAGTCAACAAATGACATTGCTCACGCTGATGGTCTGAGCCGACTGACACAGTCAGTAGGGCAGAGTCACATCCCTCCTGAGGAAGAGGATGTCTTACTCATCAATTACCTTGAAGAGGCCAACATTTTGAGTGCCCCTAAAGTGGAAAGACTGACGAACAGGGATCCTGTTCTCAGCAAGGTCATCCATTGTATTCGAATGGGATGGCCACAGAACGTGAGCTCTGATCTGAAACCCTATGCAGATAGACAGACTGAGCTCTACATGATCGGAGGCTGTGTAATGTGGGGAACAAGAGTGGTCATACCTGAGGCGGCTCGAAAGTCTGTCCTGGAAGAACTCCACAGTTGTCACTTCGGGGTAGTCAAAATGAAAGCTTTGGCTAGAACAACAGTTTGGTGGCCTGGGATTGACCGAAATATCGAGGAGCTAGCCGCATCATGTTTTGTATGCAGATCCCAGAGTCCAGATCCTCCTAAAGAAGAGCTACATCCGTGGCAATATCCAGTGAAGGCCTGGTCCAGACTGCACATTGACTTTGCCGGCCCGAGGAAGGGCAGGTATTACATGGTTGTCTGTGATGCCTTTTCAAAATGGATCGAGGTAGAGATCATGAGTTCCATTGATGCACGTACCACGATCAAGAAACTGACTTCAGTATTCGCGCGTTTCGGTCTGCCCGACGTCATTGTCACAGACAATGCCCCAACATTCATTAGCTCAGAATTCCAAGAGTTTTTGAACAGGAACAGCATTCAGCATCGCACGATAGCCCCTTACTCGCCTGCTTCGAATGGCTTGGCTGAACGTGCTGTCCGAGAGCTCAAGGTACGGCTTGACAGATTGACTGACGTATGTGCTGAGGAGGCTGTGTCTAAATGGCTTTTCTTGTACAGGGCGACGCCGCACGCAACGACCGGGGAGTCTCCTGGCAAGCTGCTCATCGGATACAAGCCGGTCACCAGGTTCGATAAACTGAAGCCGGACCTTCAAGGTAACGTGATCAGGAAACAGGAGAACTTGGTAGAAAGTCACAAAAGAAGGCATACTCGAGTGAGGCCTGCGTTTGTTGTTGGTCAAACTGTGTGGGCTCGGAAATTCGGCAGAGAGAAGGCTGTGTGGTGCCCTGCTATTGTTGTCAAAAATCGTCATCCTCTGTACTGGGTCCGGATGTCCAATGGGCAGGTACACAAGCGTCACATCAATCAATTGTACTCACAGGCTGCATCGGCGCCCAGTCTGGAGACTGCTGAGGAGCTGGAGCACGGTGGCGACATCTGCGGCGCCGATGTCCCCGATCGTCTGGCCGGCCGTTCCGCTACTGCTCCCGCTGCTGCTGCGGAGCCGGCTGAACCGCCTGCTGAGCGTCTGGAGTCGGCCATCGGCGGCGCCGCGTCGACCTCTCCTGCTCGGCCGTCGACACTGAGACGAGATGAGAGCGCCGGTCGCGTCTTCCCGGAGCGTCACGTGCCAGACGCTGCGCTACAGCGAGTGGAGCCCGGTGTCGTCTCCTCTCGATACTCCCCGCCGCGATTCGACCGCGGCTCACTATCTGGTGAACCATCGCCGGAGCGTCCGTCCGTGAGCGCGAATGTCCCCAGGCAGATGGGCGTTGACGCTGACGCTCCACGACGATACCCGCTTAGAAATAGACGGCCTGTGGTGCGCTACTAGAGGTCATAATGTATCTGTCGAAGTTGATTTTGTTTAATTGCAAGGCTAACTCTTGATTTAAATGGGAGGGTGTTGTGTGCTGGGAACATTCCGGAGCGGTTACCCATCCCCAGTGCGCGGGTACCCGCCCAGTTTGGTCTGGCGTCTCGCTGTCTGTGTCTGGCTGTCTGGTGTCTCGTTTTGTGATTGGCTGACCGTTGATCGGTCAGTCACGTGATCGTATCGGACGGTCAGGGCCGCGTCGTGCTGGCCGGTCGGTCGGGGGGAGTCGGTCGGTCACCGCTGAGCCAGCCGTCGGTATGGTGCTGTTGCTAAAGTAAAATATACCGCACCCGGTTTAACAGAGTGTCTCAAGATACAACACATTTCATATAAGAAAACACGCAAAACAATGAAACAAAAATAACTACGGCAGATAATTACCGTCAGGTATCTAATTCCGACCAATCAGCACCTCAGTAGGATATGACGTCATACAAGAATGGTGGTGAAGGCCGTTTGCAGTCCCGGCCGGTAGGTCACGTGACCGCCGGGCGCCTCGGGTCACGCGGCGGTCGGGAGTCGGACGCGGGGCGTGGTCGCGGGCGGACGCGCGGGGCATCATGCTTTGCTTTGCTTGCTTTGTCAACTTCATATAACTTACTATCGCATTCGTGTGAAAGCCAAACACTGCTCAGTGCCTTTAGAAATTGAGTTTTGGAAAGCTCAAGTCCCTATAGCTCCTCAGGTCGGCAACAGTTGAAGCCTCATCTGAACCCATGTGCAAAAAAACGAGGGTAAGGAACCTTGTGTTGCTTTTTCTTTTACCGTCATAATTATCTCAAACCATCACAATTTTGAGTTGCCACATTGTCTGCTTCACTACATTTGTGTAAAACTTGGGTGAAGGCTGGTGGCTCAAAGAAAGGTGAAGATATTTCTTTAAGTGCCTAATCCGTGAAATTGAAATATCCCGGCTTTACAAATCTACACTTTTCATTTTCTCCACGATACATTTTTTAAAATTGTTTAAATTTTATATACATTTGTTAAAATCGGGGCTTTGGTTTTGTGTAAACTAGATCATAAAGTTTACTATAGTTTTGTGTAACCTGATGGCTGAAGAAAATAGTAATTTTGCTAAAATGATGTGCGGAAATTTGTTGCTTTCCAAATCAAATTACTCATACCTATATTTCATTCAAAATTAGGAGGCATTATTACTGTTTTTTTCTTGTAACATGAACTGAGTTTGGGTACGGTGCTCCGGAAACGTTGTGGAACTTTAAGCTAGCTAGAGCAGTTTCCATAAAAATTGTTTAGATAGTTGACATGGCTTGTTGACAACTCTTTTGCTGTTTCTAAAAAAAAGTGAAAAAATATTTTCCTGCATTAATCACACAAGGCATGTTATTCTCATAAGCTATCGAATGTGTGTGTGTGTGTGTTTTTTAAGCTGTTTTTTTTTAAGCTTTTAAGCTGTAACTTCAGTTACTTCACTTTAGAACATATTGCCCAGAATGCGTCACTGATCATGAGCTGGTATATCATATCATATGTAGCAAATACATAAATGAGAATAGTGTGTCATGAATTTTTGTGCATGATTCTGGATCATCTGTAATTACATCAAAGGCTCGGCTCAAGAGTGTCCTGCCGACCAGCTTATGCCCAACCCTTTCTGTCCGCAGAACGTCGCCTGCGACTCCCGCACGCCGTTTGCCCTGGCCGTCCATACTGGTCTTCGCGCTGCGAGCCGCGCTGGAGTTCGCGGCGGCGTCGTGGAGCTCCCATCGGGACGGCGTGTGATGCCCGCGTCGAGCTTATAAGCCGTGAGCTTCGATTGGCGGCTCACGCGGTCACCAGCTGTATGTACAGCCTCGGCCCCGACGACCCCGCTAATGGCCGAGACCGGCATACCCCCGGCATGGGTCCGCTGTCCGGCGCAGCGCTGGCCGCCCGCATGCTATGCTACTTTTGGCTGTATCGCTGCCCAAGCGGGAGCGCGCTCCACGCTGCGGAAGAGGTACACGTTGCGACCCGACTGAGGACTGCAACCGGATGGTGACACGTCGGCCTCTGCGCCCTGGCCGGGGCAGGCGTGACCGACGTCACAGTGGAGGAACGCCCAAACAAGACCAACCCACCGTCGGAGCAGCATGGAAATATCATGTTCTGCCTGGACGTCGGACCCGGCGGCCGCAGTGCACCTGCACACGTGCGGAGAGGGGCGCTGGAGGCTACTCTGGAGCTTCTGCCATTCCGCGGCGCGACTGCTGGCAAAACGGCGGCGATTGAGGCGGTTGGGAACAGCTGCAGCAATGGTGATGGCGGTGATGGCGACATGGCGGTTTGGGACTTCATCTCAGCGCGGCCGCCGCCCAGGCGCCGCTGCGCCCGGCTGCTCAGCCACCTACCGGATGGCGAGGTGGCCCTTACGGCCCTCACGCCCGTTCGGTCTGCGGCCACGTTGTGGGGTGGCGGTCGCGGGGTTAGCGGCGTTGGACTTCGTCCTTTATCCAGACTGCACCGTACCATCTGAACGGATGGATCTGCCAAGAAAGATGACATCCAATGCGGCTATGAGGCGATCACAAAGCTTCACCAAGAGCTTCTCCTTCATGGGGCCGGCCGGCCGTTAAGTCGCAACACCGGCTGCCGAGTGCCAACAGCTGCGTGCGCTGGCGCCGACGCGTTGTGGGCCGCGCTGCTGACGCCCAAGCTGCGATATCAACCATCTATGAATAAGTGGCAGCGGTGGCGGCTTGTCAGTTGTTAACGTGCCTTAACAGACGTTGCGAATAGCCCGCGTTGGAATCGCATGGTTGGGAACACAACGCAAGTAAAAATGGGCTTCCTTGATGAACCTACTTTTTAAGCATTGTAGCTTTTGTAATTTTGGATGTTTTGCTGTAGATATTATTTTCTACATATATACTATATAGGCACTCACGTGCTTTAAATCGCGCAATGCAATTGAACCATGGTAAAGACAATGATAAATGAACTGAGAGCTGACATGTCCCATGCTTTGTGTGTGTATGTGTGTGTGTGTTTTTTTTTTTTTTGGCGAGTCGATAAAAGTGGTTTTGGACACTGGATGAGTTTTTAGGGGTGTGGTGAGGGGGATGTAATTCCACAGACCTTCTGTCAGATTCACTAATGCAGTAGGTCTGTGCGGTGTTAAGTTATCGGAGCATTCTTTGAAAGTCGTGAATAGGGCCACCGAGTACCTAAAGCCGTGATATTCCCCCACAAAAACTTCTTTTAAATAACCGGGGATAGGTACATGAGCAGAGTAAATGCTATTACGAACGCCTATCACAATGCTGAGCGAATAGGAAAATCCATAGATGGAGAATTGTGCCGCGTTACGGGTGCTCGGGCGCAGCCAATCCACCGTTACCCCAGCGGTGACCTTGACCCGCATCGTCTGTCTCGGCTCCAAAGCCAAACCGGCGTGGAATTGGGAGCGTTCGAGCACTCATGGTCCAGCGCAATTCTCCACCTAAATCCATTCCTGATACACATTTGCTTGCTCATAGTCATGTAACCCCGGTAAATTCACCCAACTTTCATATTGGTCGCTCCATAGACAGATGGCCACAGAGATCAACTTAAAAGGCCATTGTTGGATTCATTTAGTGGAGATCATGGCCCTGTTTCACCGGTGATAGCAGCACGCTGCTATCACGTTTCGCGAGCTGACGTCATGTCATGACGCCATACTGCTGACGTTATGGGCAGTTCCGGCGCACGATGGCCGCGACCTTGGCCGCGGCATTAAGTGACGTATGAGACTAATAGTAAGAGTTTACGCAGTCATTATAGTATATTTATTTTTATTATATATCTTTTTTAAATATGATGTATTTAAAAGAAGTTGGGTTTAAGGAAAATCTGGACGTAAACTTCGAACATTTAGTTGATGACGTAAAACAATATTGCGGCAATCGTGCGCCAGAATTGCCCCTTACGTCAGCAGTATGACGTCATCACATTACGTCAGCTCGCGCAATTTGATAGTAGCGTGCTGCTATCACCGGTGAAACAGGGCCCATTAAAGAGCCGTGACAGGCCACAAGTCGCGTGACATCATACGTGTAACGACCAATGACGTCGGCCTGCAAAACCCAATGGAAGCGGCTAGCAGCGTGCAATAAAACAGGGCGCTGCTTTCTAAATGTCTGTCGTGCGCCATAAATGAATATATTCTTTGTAGCCTGGCAACTCAGTATCTTTTTTTAACTATTGTACTAGTATTTAATAATTTCATAATTTTATAATTGTGCTTACGCTTTATGTTGATATTAGTGATAAATCCTTAGATAAAGTAAATCGATGTGATATTTAATAGAAAAACAGCAAACTAACGCACCATTCATTCGAAAGCTGGGGAACCTACTAAAAAGAACTACTAAAATTCCTGAGGAACCAAAGGATCAAATGGGGATTAAATAGATGCCTGCTATTCCGTCGTGAAAACGGCCAATATGTCGTAAATTAACAAGGGTATGAATAATTTTGAGGACGACTGTATATATATATATATATATATATATATATATATATATATATATATATATATATATATATATATATATATATATATATATATATATATATATATATATATATATATGTCGTAGGTATCGGGTGAAATCCGGCATTTCATGAAATGTCTAGGCATTACATGGAATGCCGGCAAAAACTGAAATCTTCGTAGAAATACGGGCGTTACAGCGAATGTCTGAAAATTTTAGGCTTTTCATGAAGTGCCAGGGGGAGGCCAGGCACTCCCTGAAATATGGTCAAAACCAATTGAGTTCACTCGTTGCCTAGGCATTACATGAAATGCCCGACTGACGGCCGGCACTTTCTGAAACGATTACCGCAGCGAGAACGGACCCCGGGCCCCGGACCCCCGGTTGGATGGGGCCCGGACCTCCGGGAGAACGGGCCCGGGCCTCCCGGAGAACGGGCCCAGGCCCCCGGGAGAACTGGCCCGGCCCCACGTGGATGGGTCCGGGCCCCGAAAGAACGTGCCCGGGCCTCCCGGAGAACGGGCCCAGGCCCCCGGGAGAACTGGCCCGGGCCCCCTGGGTGGATGGGGCCCGGGACCCCCGTAGATGGGTGCGGGCCCCCGGGAGAGCGGGCCCCGGGTGGACGGGGCCCGGACCCCCTGGTGGATGGGGCCCGCGCCCCCGGGAGAAGGGGGCCCGGGCCCCCGGATGGATGAGGCCCGGGCCCCCTGGTGGATGGGCCCCGGAGCCCCGAGTGGACGGGGCCCGGGTCCCCGTGTGGATAGGGCCCGGGCCCCCGGTTGAATGGGGCCCGCTAGGGTGACCCGCTTGCTCCGCAA